CGGGCGCCCCGGGACCCGCCGGCGGCCCTCGCGCTCCCGCTCCCGCTGCGTGTCTGGGCGGTGCCGCTGCCGGGCCTCTGCGTCCAGGGTTAGTGTGCAAGGCAGAGCGCTCCCGGCCCAGGAGCGGCTGCGCGCACGCAGGGCTGGGCGACTGGGACATCGAGACCCTTAAAAAAAATCAGCGGGGCGCTCAGCCCTGGGGAGTGGGGGGAGAAGAGGAGGAGGAGGAGGAGGAGGGCCAGGCAGGAGCCCCGGGCCGGGCCGCAGCCAGCCCCGCGCTGCTGAGAACGGGGTAAGCCTGTGCCACCCGTCGCAGCAGGAGGGGCTGGAGCAGGGCTCGGGGCTACACTGGCCCCGGGGAGACCTCCAAAGCCGGGGGAGTCGCGAAGCAGGAGCAGCCGAGCTGGGTTTCTCCATATTTGCCCGCTTGCAGGTTTTCCCTGGAACCACCAGCCGCGGCTGAGCTCCTTCAGAGGCAGGAGCTGGCCCCGTTCGCGGCATTCTTGCTGCTCAGGACTATGGATAATGCAGCGTTGCTGCTGGTGTTCGTTTGCTTGATAAACGAATGAGGCGTAGCCTCCTCCTGGCACGGGACAGGTGCCCGTTGCAGATGTGCCGACATGCTCCAGTGTCAGCATTTGTGTTTGAGCTGGGAGAGCACTTTGCACCCAGAGAGGGCAAATGCATCTTTGTCTGGCTCATCACAGCCAGGGGCTGCAGCCCCAGCACTGACTATTCGCTGCCAGGCCGCGGCGGAGGAGTGCATTCGTGGCTGGGCGCAGTCTGAGAGCGGCCGAGTCGGAGGAGTTCACCCTCTGCTCCGTCGTGACCAGAGGCGAAAGTGCCTTGGAGAAATGATGCTGAGAAAAGAGTTGCCCAGCTCCATTCGTCACACCTGTAGGCCGCTCCCGTGGGCATCTCTCTCTGAGTTTGCTCTTCAGCTCCATGCTGAGCTCTTCATCCATGCCAATGCTCACGATTCCACAACGCTACGTACGAGTGCACGGGATGACGCTTCCTGAGAGACCCACATTTGCCACCAGACGTAGCCGAGTGCTCTCTCGCGGCTCCCCAAGGGCCTACAAATATCAGCATTTGAGACAAAACCTGACCGACCCTGTGAGATGCTTTAACTCAGTCGAAGCCTGCACATACTCAGTGATGCTCTGGGGTCTTGTTCATCTCCCAAACAAGTCTGTGGTGTCAGACCAGGGCGCGCCGCTCTGTTAAAATGATCGTTGTTCCTCAAAAGGAGCAGGAGGGAGATGGGAAGCTAACGGGCTTGGTTTTTTCCTGCCCTTTCTATTGAACAACGTTAACTTACAAAATTGTATTTCGGCAAGTCTCAATCTTTGCCTTTGTCGTCTCCAGAAAAGCAGCCAGATGCCGTAATGCAACAAGCAGACAAAAAGAAAAGGGACAAAGCAAGATGATTATTGTAATTGTGTCTGCTCTGTGACAGCCGGAGCAGAGTTATGAGGGCGCACTTATTCCCCCCTTGGACACCAAGCTCCCTTTGCTCTTTTAGTGGCAGCTGATCAAAGACCATTTCAGAATCAGCCAGGAAACTCAGGGAATGTTATCTATTTTTTTCTTTTCAGCCTCGGTGTCATTAACTGGTTGCTCAATCAATCTCCCTCCAGCCAGACACATTTTCCTCAGGTCTTCAGGCCCACGTTTCCACCTGGCTGCTTTTAACTGTGCCATCAGTGCTTGTGGGTGCAGCTAGTTGTGTGTGCACAGCCCCAGCATATGTGTGTGCGCGCGTGCAAAATGCAGGATTCTCCATGTACAAACGGGGGATCCTGTGTGCGTGCAAGGGGCGGGGGAAGACACCTGGCAGTTCAGCTCATAATTATTTCCCATGCAGTCTTGGGAAACAAATGGCCCATGTAGCAGGAGGGAGAACTCGACTGTTGCATACTCGGTGAGCTTGAACTTGAGTGGGAGGGAAGATGGAGGGCAGGGGGTGTCCCATGGGACCGTGCCCCTGTTGTGGGGAGAGAGGGGTGACTGAGGGGTCACAAGGCAGAGGGAAGGACGAGAAGGCTCCCAACGAGTGCCCATCACTATGGGGTCTGCTGTTCTCTACCATCCCGGGGGGGGTTGTTCAGCAGTGCATGGAGCTGCTCCTCCCTGCGTGCTCAGGTCACTGGTTTTCCACTTGACTCCACGCCGAACAAATCTCTAACTTGCATCAGAGCTTCACGACCCCTGCAGCAACCGCCGCTGAATCTCACCCACCTCTGCGTGGCGGCTTCGTTGCCTTCTGGTGCCAAATTGCCTGTCTCGGAGCCCCGATGAGAGCAGTGCCTCGAAGTCTGGAGCCGGGGATGAGCTCTTTGCTTGCTGCCTGCCTGTGCTAGACACCAGCCACTTCTTGGGACAGCCTGGTGCTGAGATACTGAGAGGCCCTGCATGGCCACGAGTCCAGTAACAGGGCCCACATCCCTGCCAGTCCACTCAATCTATGCAGCCAGGGGCCTCTCCGGCCACCTCCCTCCCCTCCCCGAGCCTCGTGGGGGGAGAGCGTGCATGCCCAGCACCAGCCGAGCCTCCCCCCTTTGCATGAGAGAGGGTGTGCGAATTTTGCCATCAGAAAAGCAGGAAGGCACCAGTTTAGGGTCCGCAGTGGCAGCCAGGGAAGGAGGATGGGGGGGAAAGGCTGGGAGGTCTGCAGCAGGTCACGCCTGCAAGGGGCCGAGGAGCCTGGAGACCCCGGCAGAGCTGCGTTATTGTATGGTTGTTGTGCGGCCCTCAGCTCCCGGTCGCTGCGGCTGCCTGCGCCACGGGGAGCAAGCGGGAAATGAAGCAATGGTGCGAGATAAGGGCTCCGTGTAAGCGAGTGGTGAGGCTGTCCAGGGGGAAGATGCTCTTGCCAGGCACCCGCCCCAGGTGCCGTGGCTCGTCTGCCAGGGCCCGGAGTTCAAGCGGACCCCAAACGGGTACCAGGGCCCCCCAGGCGTGCGCGTGCATGCGAGTGGGCAGCAGCTGCTGGATGCGGAGTAACCCGGGGAGAGCCAGAAGATGCAGGGGGAGGGGGTCTCGGCTAGGTGGACTCCCGAGGGATGGCTCCAGGTGCGGCAAGTCACGGGCGCTGGTTGTTTTCAGCTGTTGCAGGAGGGCCGTGCTCCTCCAGGGGAGTGCCTGCATGGACGGCTTCCTGGAGGCCCTGGGCTCAGCTGCGGGTCACGGGCTGGAGGAAGGTTTCTTGCAGGGGTAGCTCCTGCTGCGTTGGAGTAGCAGGCTGGAGACCGTGGTGGGGGGAGATCAGGGCCAGGGCACTGGATGCTGCACCTTGGCGCTGGGGAGCTTCTTGATTGAGTTTCTTACTGCAGGACTAGATAAAAGGCTCTCAAGTGATGACTGAGCCCACAATGATGGCAAGGTCCCACGGGGGTAGGGGTGGCAGTGACCGTGGGTCAGCTCTGCCTATCCCTCGGCAGGGGCGAAGGGCGGGCGATGTGCTGCCAAGCTGCAACAGCCCTGCGCAACGTCTGCCCAGCCTGGGCCTGCACCCTCGTGTAAACCATCGTGGGCGAGCCTGCCAGGGGCTGACATTAACGAGCGAGCGTCTCCATGCTGGCATGGCCCCGGCGCCAGGCGCCTCCGTCGGCATGCCACGCGGGGCCTCGCGCCCCCGCGCCAGACTGACCCGGCGCTGCGGCGCTTTCTGCCGCGGCTTGTCTTCGGGGTGATGCTGTGCTTTGCTTTGGTCCTCCCCGTCCAGGTCTGCGCCCCTCCCCGCTAGCAGCGCAGCCTCCTGGCTCCCTCCTCAACCCAGGCCCCGGCCAGGCAAGTCTGGCTAAGAGCAGCCAAAACCCTCCTGCAGCCGCTTGTGGTTCACAGCCGTCAGCCTCCAGGCACATCCGTTCCCAAAGCTGCTATTCCTTGCCCGATCCTGGGTTTTTGCTGCGTTCATAAGCAGTTGCCACCGAGCGCTGGTGTACGCAGTGCTCCTGGGTGTCGCATACGGCAGCCTCGGTCTGTTAAGTGAACGATTCATTTGCAGCTTCGCAGCAGAAAGCCACAAAAGCCACCGGGCTGCCTGGAGCGGGGGGCCACAGAAAGCCAAGGACCCTGCAGGCTGGGGGACGTTGCAAAGGGCTGCATCCATGCCAAGTGCACATTGCCGTGTGCAAGCGCTCACACTTACACTTGCTCGTTGGGGCTAGCATGGCTTCTAGGGCCGGGGCTGGGCTG